ATAAGCATTTCAGTGCAATAACCGAATAGTTATGACACAAAGGACGCATTTGGATGACTTTTTACGTGGTAGAATTATCAGCCGGAAAAGCTATAAAAAATATTAAATTAAAAAGGTAGCTGTATTTCCGTTAAGCCTAATTCTGCTATGGCTGAAGGAGATGAAAGTAAACAAGCCGAAACTAATGCAACATCTGCGACTGTCGCCAAGGTCAGCATCAAAATTCCTCCTTTTTGGAAACCTGACCCCAAAATATGGTTTCTTCAGATTGAATTCCGAAACGCCGGAATTACGGCTGATCAAACAAAATACGATTATGTAGTCAGTTCTATTGAAAAGGGACATTGTCACAAATCTCTGATATTCTCACCAAACAACCAGACAACGGCAAATATCCAGCCATTAAAAAAAGGCTGATTGAAATTTTTGCCGACTCTGAAACACAGAAAACCCGAAAACGTCTGACCGAATTAGAACTGGGTGATAAGAAACCATCCCAACTTCTCTGCGAAATGCGTAACTTTTCGGCTGAGAAAGTGCCAGATGAATTTTTAAAAACTTTGTGGATGCAACGACTACCACTTGATATGCGGAGCATTTTATCTGTAAGCAGTGATGATTTGTCCAAATTGTCTACAATGGCTGACAAAATATGGGAATGAAATCCCAATCCATCCCAGGTAGCTCGCATTGTTTTTTCCCCATCTGATAACATTACCCCCGAAGATTTACAGAAGCAGATATCAAACTTGACACTGCAGATAGCAGAAATGAATACGCGTAGAAATTCCAGTCCACAAAGACGACAATACAGGTCGAATTCTAGAAATCGTTTCAAAAATAACAATGACCCAAATAATTATTATTTTCATCAACGCTTTGGTGAGAGAGCGTACAAGTGCACCCCACCATGTAAATACCAGGTCTCGAAACAGGAAAACTGATTCCCCGGCCTTCGATGACGATAGAAAGTCAAGGGGTACAGCTGAGTCGTCTATATATTCGTGACAACGCATCAGCAACCCATTTTTTAATTGACACTGGGGCAGAAATATCGGTTATCCCACCATCATCATCGGAAAAAAAGAACTATGGCTAAGCTTGAGTTATTCGCAGCTAACGGTACAACAATCAAAACATACGGTCAAAAATTATTGGAGCTCGATTTAAGGCTACGCAGATCTTTCAAATGGCCTTTTATCATTGCGGACGTTAATAAACCTATCGTGGGAATAGACTTTCTTTCACATTTTAATTTGTTAGTCGATAGTAAAAACAGGAAATTAATCGATGGCACCACCTCATTAATGGCTAAAGGTACTTTGTGTAACAATAGCGCCACTCCTAAATTCATTGCTAATACTTTTCAAAACCCATATAGAGCCATCCTAAACAAATTTCCTGACTTACTTAAACCCAACATAAAAAACAGTAAAATTAAAGAACATGATGTGCAACATTACATCGAAACCAAAGGTAACCCCGTATCCTTTAAAGTCAGAAGACTTTCACAAGAAAAGTTGATTGCCGCGAAAAAGGAATTGGATTATATGTTGCAAGAAGGTCTCTGCAGACCACCGAAAAGCAGCTGGTCAAGTCCATCACACATCACTTTAAAAAAATCCGGTGACTGGAGACCATGTGGCGATTACCGTGGCCTTAATGCAAATACTGTACCAGACCGTTACCCACTACCATTTCTAACTGACTGTACTCACATTCTGCACGGAAAAACGATTTTTTTCAACCATTTAATAAGAGCATACCAACAGATTCCTGTTCATGAAGCTGATATTCCGAAGACAGCAATCACAACACCTTTCGGACTTTTTGAATTTCCTTACATGACATTTGGCTTACGCAATGCTGCACAAACCTTCCAAAGATTTATGAACACAGTGATTAGCGGCCTAGACTTTGTATTTTGCTATCTCGACGACATTCTCATCGCCCTCCAGATGCTGAAACACACAAAAAACATCTTGAATTAATCTTGCAAAGACTCAATAACTATGGACTGTGCATAAACATTGTAAAATGCAAATTTGGCTTGAGTAAAGTTGAAATTTTAGGATATGAAATATCAACGGAAAGAATCAAGCCACTTCCATCCAAAGTCGATACAATTAAAGAATATCCTAAACCAGAATCCTTCACAAGCTTCCGCAGATTTTTGGGCATGGTGAACTTTTACCATCGTTTCATTCCAACTTGCGCCAAACTACAACAACCTCTGACAATCTTGCTTAAAGGAGCAAAGAAAAACAGCAAAATCCTCTAAATTGGACCGAAGATGCGCAGAACGCTTTCACTGATATCAAAAACGCACTGTGCAACTCTGTAATGTTAGTTCACCACAATCAAATGGCGCAGATCACCCTAACTACAGATGCATCTGATTCTGCCGTGGGTGCTGTGATTCATCAACTATCTAATAATGAAAAACAATCGCTAAGGTTTTTCTCCCGATCCCTATCACCAACACAGAGAAATTACAACGCATACGATCGAAAACTACTTGCAATCTACCTAGCGGTGAAGCATTTTAAACACATTCTGGAAAGGACGATCATTTACTATCTTCGCTGATCATAAACCTATAACTTTACGCCTTCCACCAGAATTTAGATAAAGGCCTCTCCAAGACAAGTACGGACAAGTTGAACTACATTGCCTGAATTCACTACAGACATACGCTACATTTCTGGAGAAGAAAATATTGTAGCTGACACGCTATCCGAGAATTCGACATTATCGCTATCCCAGCTCCAATTGATTATACAGTTATAGCAGATTGCCAGGAAGGATTAAGACCTCAGGATTCTTCAAATCAAATTCCAGTTTCAAAATAGTAAACTAATTCCTGATTCCGGATAGCAATAAGAAAAAATTACTGGTGATACCTCCACTAATTTTCAACAGGCCAATACATTTCTAAAGAATTTCGCGAACAAGTATTTCTTTCTATACATAACGTATCCCATCCTGGGATTCGTGCAACAAGCTGGTGACAAAAAGATTCATTTGGCCTGGCATAAACAAAGACTGTCAGCAGTGTTCCAGAGCATGTCTGCAATGCCAACGAGCCAAAATTCACAAACATACCCATGCTCCAGCTGCTGAATTCAAAGTTACCAATCAACGTTTCAAGCACCTTAATATCGATATCGTTGGACCTTTACCATCTTGCAAAGGTTTTAGGTACCTGCTTACCATCATCGATAGATTCACTCGGTGGGTCGAAGCTGTACCTTTGGAAGACCAAACTGCAGAGTCCGTCGCAAATGCGCTCCTCGCGACTTGGATTTCGAGATTTGGAATTCCAGAGAAGATAACATCTGACCAAGGTCGACAATTTGACAGCCAACTCTTCAGATCCTTGAGCAAATACCTAGGCTTCAAGACTAACAGCACCACGGCTTATCATCCACAATCTAATGGTTTAATAAAACGGCAACATCGAACCTTGAAAAACAGTCTAAAATCCCACCTGCAAAAGACAAATTCTTGCACTGACGTCCTACCTTTGATTCTTCTTGGCATTCGATCCACCATTAAGGAGGATTTCCATTGTTCTTCTGCTGAACTTGTGTACGGTTCACCAATCTGTTTTCCTGGAGAATTTTTCAGTTGTGTCCCCACTGTTACGCATTCAGATTTTATACAAAAATTGCAAAGTCACATCCAAAACCTAAAACCAACACCAACAACCAGCCATAAAAAAAAAAAAAAATTTTTTTTTCGTGCACAAGGACTTAGCAAATTGTTCACACGTATTCATCTATAATAACATAATTTCATCTTCTCTTCAACCACCTATCTCGGACCATATTTAGTTAAAGAACGTTTTGAGAAATCTTTCGATGTGGAAGTTTCAGGAAAAATTAAAAGGATATCGATAGATAGACTGAAAACATGTTTCAGCCTCAAGAATGAAACAACAACAAATCTCCCGACACATGAAGCTGATAACTCCAAAATCTCACCTCCACTTCCTGGAGACAATGATTCTTCCCAAGATATTCATCCTAGAAACACAAAAGCTGGACGGAAGGTGAGATTTCCTGCATACCTGAAAGATTACGAGGTATAACGCTATCACTGGGAAGGGGGGGTGTGGCGACATCATTCGCGTATCTGTGGATATATCTGTATCTGTATCGCGTATCTGTATCTGTGGATTCTCGCATGCAATTTTCTTTTCGCCAGAATGGCAACATGAAGCAAAAGAGAAGAAAAAGAACGATGACAGATTTTTTGTCTGTGTAGTTCTATATCTAAAAAATGTAAACAAATATTAATCTTATTGGAGTAAGAGCAATGTTTAACATTTCCTATGTTCAAGACATCCACAGTTTCATTCTTGCATTAATTTGAAAAGCAGAGAATCCAAAATAAACCGTTAGATTTTACAGACTATACGTAATTATTATCTACCAAATATGTGGTCAGAGTGATATTCTTCATTTTGCGAAACCAGCGAACTTATTTTATGGCTTGTTTCTTGACTGGCATTCAAGAACTTGTTCATATTTTCTCGAAATTTCTCACTGATGAATTATATTTGGCCATAGGCTATACAGATTTTGTGCATTTCATATTCTTGATACACTCAATTAAATGATATTTAAGAAACTGTCAAGAAGTAGACCATATTTCCGATAATGAAGCCAGATAAACATTAAATATATAACAGGCCTTCAACGAAATCATACCAATAACTGCTATGACGAGCCGTAACTTTTGATGCCAATACTTAGCTGCAGCAGATTGGCAACAAACATTGTGTTCTGTTTCTCTCGTGAGATAGTGGTATGCGAAACCGTAACTCGTAACGCACCTGCATTTTCTGTAAAGAAATTTATCTTTTTATTACTCTTATGAAAAGCATTTTTCTTGCCACATAACATAAGAATCGAATCTGTTTTACTGAAAGTAAATGATCGTGGATTTCCGTTAATGACTTAATTTTATAAGAAAAACTGAGAAAAAATACTTACAAGTCACATTCCTCGTACCATTCAGGATCTGATACCTTTTCCTTAACAGAAGTCTGAAATTTTTCCTTCCCCATCTGAATAAGGACGAATACATCATTGGTACCTAATTGTCCCAAAATAAGAAACAATTACTAATATGTACTATTATTCTTATTTTGAAAAGAACTATTCTTTTTTAAATAATGACTTTATTTTTTAAATTAAACGCTGTCAGAAATTTTGGTACTTGTCTTCTGTAGTGGCTTAGGCCAGAAAATACGGCATTAACGCAGTCCAGGCTTAGGAAATTGCAATTTGTAAACATTCACGAAAACAAAACTCCGAACGGTAAACGATAAATCAGAAATTCATTCAATATCTATATAACACAAGTTATTTAATATACACATATTATAGGGAATTTAAAATGCATTTATATTTATTATAGTGTTTAATACAATTTTGGCAGCAATCTACTTAACAACACAGTTAAATTTAACGTATTTAGTGCGCGTTCATTAATTATTGTATTTAATACAATTACATTGGCAATTTATTTAACATAACAATATACATAAACATTACAGAAAATTCTGTTTATTATTAAACATATCGGAAAATTTTATCTATTATTTTATTCAATACAATTTATTGAAAATATTTATATAAACACACTAAAAAATTCCTTCTTTAACAAACTCTTTTCGGCGACCCAGAAATGACTGCTAAAAGTGCCTCAACATAGACAAGCAACTTTTTTCCCCGTTGAGGGATGATTAAGAATAGTAAGCTGAATGAGTATTTTACAATGAAATACCCCTATACACTGACTACCAATAAGTATTTGAACACCTGTGATAGAAAAGAAAAACTAACTTTATTCAAAATCAATAGTTGGTAGAGCCTCTACGAGAGGTAATTACAGCGTGGACACTCCGGGGCATACTTTCCACAAGTCTTTGTATGACAGCTAGTGGTATTTTCTTCCACTCGGCTTGGAGAAGACAAAGAAGTTCCTTCACGATTTGCATGGGTAGTGCACCCCTGAATTCGGCGAGCAACTCGTCCCAGAGATTCTCGATAGGGTTCAGGTCTGGACTCTGGGCAGGCCAGTCCATTCGATGAACTCCATTGGCACCATACCAAGCCTTAGTTAACCCTTCACACGCGCATCATTGCACTACGTTAGTACACGCGCGGGACAAATTTTACCTCAGTGTTTGTTTTTCGAAGTTCACCCCCCCCAAAGGTATAAATAAATGCATTTTCTTTTTTTAAATGGCTGTATAAATGACTAATTTTGAATTTGTGAATAAATGAATTTGTGAATTCTGTTAAGTTTTTGAATTCTTTTTTGCAGTTTTAATTTGAGATAATCTTACTTTAAGTTATACAAACATTTCCATACTGGTTACCTAAACTAAGCCATAAGAATCAAAATTTAAGCAAAACTACTATCTTATGTAAGATGCATATATGATTTCTTATATTAGAAAAATCAGTTTTCATATGTACATATTTTTAAACATAAGTGTTTATTATAAAGAGTGGTTTGATAAAGCACTAGATGAATATGAAAAGGCTGCATTCTTACTATCTTTTTCCCTAAAACTCAATATAATGTCATACAATTATTCATATCAAAAAATAGATTCTAAATATGAATATTAAAAAATATAAATAACACATTTGATCGATGAATAATAAAAGCATTTATACCTGCAATGTTCATTAGTCCGAAAAATACCGTTACAGGCCAGCGGCGGCATTTTCTTGAAACAGACTAAGTTCCACATAACTCATCAACACTATAAACATCACCTTTTGTAGAGTGTCAAAAAGTTATCATTTCGAGCTTGAGCCGGTCTTTTAGACAATGGATCGATTTGATTATCCTCATGCATGGATGATAGAACAAAAGCCGATTTACTCTTTATTGGAACATACATGAAGTAAGTGTTAATTCTTTATCTCTAAACCCAAAACACGAAGAATACAGAAGCCTGTTTTATTTGACAGAACTTTTTCTGGAATTTCACGCTTATCTTTTCGAAGTGTCCCAAAACATGTCAATTTGTGCTTTTTCAATAATGCATTGGCCAAAGGAATGTTCATGTAACAATTGTCCATAGTTATATTTCTTTCAGTGCCACTTATGGGTGCAATAAGTCTTTGTACAACATCCAATGCCACTTTGATTGTCTATATAGTCCGACAGGCTGCTAACCTGCATAAATGTCTAGGTTGTATGCATAAAATGTATGTGAATCGCACAAAGTAAAAGTTTTTATTCCATATCTTAGTAGCTTACTTTTTATATATTGTCTGAATTGATACCTTTCTCAAAAGGGTTCTAATTTTTCGTTTATAGTTCAATATTCAGATACGAATATATTTTTCGTATGTTTTTGATAAATATTTCAAAAACATTTCTAATAAGTGCAAGTCTAGCCGTCATCTTTCGCTCTGCTCGTAAATTTATGTCATCAAACCAATACACCTCAACAGGAAGTGGAATCGGTTGATAGACATTGCTATTTTGAAAAACAGTTATTCCGCTTCCATCAGCTGACCGCAAATCTTTGTTTTGAGGAGTGCTATTCTCAGCACTCCACCGTAACATAACAGGAAAAACAACGTCTTCAATTAAGCTACGTTTGTCTTTTGTGCATCACGTTCTCTAGAGAATTTGCTTCTTTATTGATGAAATGTAAATTTTTGTTGATTTCACCAAATCTTCCATTATTTCTTCATCAAAAATTTGCAATAAACACTCAGTTGGATTTTTTAAATTTCTAAAGCTTTTCTTGACACCGGGTAAATGTGTCACTATATTGTGCGGCCGTGTCCAAACGTTTTTCGAGGGTAATTTTTTACTTCAAATTGTTCCATCTTTTCAAACATAAAAATCCTCTGATGTCAAAAAGATATGCTGCCTAAATCATGTGAATCATCATATTACTGGTCACAATCAGTTTCGCGAGCACTTTCAGAAATATTATTGCACTTACAATCGGAATCATCAATTTCGCTATCAGTTTCAACATTAGCGAGAAGAACCCGCAGTCGTTACTGTTCCCGCTCGTACGCACTCATCTCAATGAATATCTCTCTAGAAGTGAAACGTTACTACACGCGCGGGGTAGCTACAATCCCCCGAAAACACAAAAAACACAAAATCCCAAGGACCCGGGGAAAATTCATCTGGACGACCCCTTTCTAACCTTGATCTTGAAAGGTGCATGAAGTACTAGAAAGGTCACGTACGACCTTCCCTTATTTTCTAAGAAAAGACTACACGTGGGTTGGATTTTACCCCAGCGCGTGTGCTGACGGGTTAACGTCGAAACATGACAACTGGCATTGTCGTCCTGAAAGTAACAGGGGTCCAACCCGTAAAACTGTCACAACGTAGGAAGCACATTGTCATCCAAAATAGTGCAGTAGGCATCGGAGTTGAGCTTACCATGAATGGGGACCAAGGGTCCCAGCCCATACCAGAAGAAACACCCCCAGACCATAATTCCACCTCCGCCGAACTTGACTGTTGGCACAATGCATTCTGGCAGGAGACGTTCTCCATGTAGACGCCAGACGGTAAAGGGTAGACGGCAGACGCCAGACGCCTGCCATCCAGGTAGACGCCAGACGCCTGCCATCCGAACTGTAAAGGGTGAACCTTGATTCGTCATTCCAAAGAACCCGTTTCCACTGATCTACGGTCCAATTTCGATGTGCTTTGCACTACATTAACCGAGCAGCGCGGTTGGACTTTGTGATCAAAGGCTTATGGGCAGCAGCACGATCATGAAAACCAATCAGATGTGCTTCCTTAGGGATGGTATTCATTGAAACAATATTCCCGGATGCCTGTTGAAACTCCTCGCGTATGAGGGCCATCGGTTGGTCGCGAGATATGTCCCTTAAGGATCGGCCACATTTGTGATACCCGATAATTATACCTTTCTCGAAATCAGAGAGCTCTAAACTGCGAGGCATCTTGCATGCGACTAAAGCCGATGCTGTTTTCTACACGATATATACCGGCAGAGTCCGTGACGTACCTTAGGACCGCAGATATCGTCATTTGCATAGGTGTCCAAATACTTATTGGTAGTCAGTGTATTGACACAAGGCAATCACGATAAACCATTTTGATCGTTAACCGAGTGCTTCTTGCATGCGCAAATCGGTAACCATCTGTTTCTTGACAATGCAGAAAGAGCCAAATCCACTGTCTTGCCAGGAGAGCATAACATAAGTACCGCAATATAAAAAAAACTTGATGTAAAATTATTCCTTAATTTAAAATAATTAACAAGAAGCTTAATCGCATGAAATAAAAATATTTTCAGTTATTCAAATTGAATTAAATCGATTTCTGAAGCTATAAAAATATAAGGGAACGAGAAATAGTCAATATTGCTTATCTTAATAATTAATTTTCAGTTAAATGTCTCACGATTTCCTTTTCCCTGCAAACAAGCTGGCAGCATAAAATTTTCGTAGTCCCCACTACTGATTACGAGCTGGCCCAGCTGTAGCATTTTCGGCTCTCTAGGCGTTCAGAAGAGTAGGCGGTCCTGCATAATTTACATACTAGTACAGTGGACTCTCGATTATCCGGGATAATGCAAGGTCTTTTTGAAAGGAGAGTTCTCATTAAGATGACCTTGGCTAATGCCGGGGAAGCAAGTCACGGATAATGAAAAACTCGGATAATCCAAACGATACATTTTCATGCATATAGTATATGTTTATTTCTTAAAAAATTAGTGTTTGCTTTATTTTTAAGAACGATTAAATACTTGTCAAAATTCACTGCGTATTTTCCGAAATGCTATTTTATCATTGTATTCAAGTCCCCTCTGATCGACAAAATGCAACAGAGCTTTTACAGAACCCATTGACTAATGTAATTGACAGTATTTTCTTGGCTTGTATTTTCAATGCCATTCTGTGGATTTTCTGTTCTTGAGACGATATCCCTATCACTCAAGTATTGAAAGCCAGACTCAGTCGAATCGCAATGGAACCATTCCTCGATGATTTCCCAGTCGACATTTTCGAAGCATTTTACGTTTTTAATTTTTTGAAATACAACTTCAGTTATTACCTCAACTT